ATTTTTTCTAATTTTAAAGTCTATTTATATTCCTCTGGAACAATTTGAAAATTTTCCTGAAAACTAATTGACTAACATGGACCTCTGGTTGGCTCTAGAGAGGAAAATGGTTCCTGCCCTCACCTGTGACTTTCTTGCCACCCTCCTTAGAGCTAACTTCCTCTCTGCTGTCCTCTTCCAGAGTGCTTGCCAGGTCTAGGGCTAGATATCAGACAGTGTGTATGGGCCCTGCCTAGGGAAGAAGCACCTAGAAGTGCTGACCTTCAAAGGAAGAAGTCACGGTCCAGCTCAGAGGCAGTGACAGTGTCGTTGGTCCTCACCTCAGCCCTCGCTTGGTGCCCTGCACCCTTCAGAACCATAGGGTGCCCTATACGCAGGGCACTCTTCAGCGAGGACCGCACTAAAGGGCCTTCTCTCTTTTTTTTTTTTTTTTATTTAAGAGGAAAAAGAGAAAAACACAAAACAAACCAAAGCGGCGTAAGGGTACACGCAATACAGAACTACAAAACAAAACAAAACAAAACAAAACAAAAAACATAACAGTAAGAAATTACCTGCTAGTAGATTACACACTATCTTCTTGAAAATAGTTCCTCAAATCACAGTATCAAAGAACACAAGGTGGACATTCAAACAGGGAGACTGCAAACAGCTGTGTTCAATGTTCCAAAAACATTGATAAAGTCAGCTATTTAACACCCCCAAACACACTTGCTGTTATATCCGTTAGAGCTCTTTTTCTTTTTTTTTCTCCCTCTCTTTTTTACAACAAAATTTACACATCTTGGATTTTATTACTCCTTAGTGCTTATTACTTTCTTTGGGGGGGGGGAGAATACAGTCAAATATGGCAAAACAAAGCTGTCAGTCAATACCAAGGATAGACATAGCACATGGTGTAGAACAGAGTACAAGTTTATCAACAATGGTTATCAACATTGTCCCTTGTTTCCTTAAAAAGAATTGTCTATCTTATTAGATATTATAAAGTTGGACAAAACAGTAGAGAACAAGACCAATAAAACTTAGGCATTGTAAACATTACAGGACTTCCAAAGAAGACAATAGTCAAACCAGAATGGGTATCTTAGTGAATCTTATTGTCTTCAAAGTAGTTGCCTATGTCTTCAAATTTGATACTATCATATAGAATGGAACAGAGTCTAATCAGTCAAAACAAGATCGTGGGAGTACTACAGGTCTTCAAAACAAGGGCCTTCTCTTGAGTGCTGGCAGTTGAGGAGGAGCTTGGCAGAAGCTTGCTTAGCAGGAAGAGCAGCCTGCACTGTCAGGAGGCCCCTCAGAAAGGGAGGTGCAGCAGAGGTCATGGAGACTCCTGGTCCCCTTCTCTGTTGTGACAGGGTCATCACCTTCCAGAGGTAGGGCTTCTTCCCTCAGAATGGTCGCAAATCAAGAGTTCCCTATCTTCCTGGCTTGGAAAGGCACAAAGTGTCTTTGAACTGTAGTTCTCTTTGAGCCTTTGACAGAGAGAGGCAATATCACTTAATGATTACAAGTTCACCCTTTCAATAGGTCTCCAGCTTTCCACTCTGAATTTGGATAAACTATGGGATCACTGGCTCGATGATCAGTACATTTGTGTTTTTAACACCTTTGCTGATTGGTGTCTTGTGCTGTGGTCTTATGAGGCCTCTTGCTTTCCCTCCCCATCCTGAACTGTCTGGAAGCTGTCTTGCATTTCAAATAGCCAAGGAGCTCCAATTTCAGATAGCTGAGTGGCTTGCATGCTGCCTGCTCAGAAAGAGTCTCTCAAGTTCTTTGGAACTTTCTCTTTGGGAACATGAGAAAAGGGCTTGTGCAGTAGTACAGGAAACTGGATATCATCCACCTGTGATGTTGGATCTTAACATTAGCTTCAGTTTTGTCTACCTTTCATTTTCCTTTCATCTTTTTCTAAAGCATGTCCAGCAATTTGAAGGTGATGATTTTATTTCTGTGTCTCCAAATCCTGGTGCAGCTGTCCCCCACTGTCCTTCTCCTTGAGCTATCTCTAGCAGGGCAGGTGAGCCTAAGAGCTGATGTCCATGGGTCAGTAGGCCCCGTTCCCTTTTACAATCCCTGATCGGAAGAATGACTCACTCCAGGAGTTAGCCTCTGTCGCTACATTGTAGCTGTTCCTGTTGCTCAGTCTTTCCTGTTAGTCCCTCCCTGGAATGGTGTCCTTTCTCTCTTACCTCTGGATATTTTTTAATTACTCTGTAATACTCAGTTTAATGACCACCTTTTCCAGAAAGTCCTCTCCCAGCTGTTTTCTCTCATGGTTGGGTGTACCGTCTGCATCTCAGTCCTTGCCAGTTATTTCATGTCTATGTGCCTTGTCCCCCAGAAGTTCTAGGTCCTCTGAAAACAGGACCTACTCAGCTGTGCTGCTTGGGGATGGGCCTGGTGCCTAGCATTCTTTTTTTTTTTTTTTTTTTTTTTTTAGTTTATTTTAGGAGAAAAAGAAAAAAAAAAAGGTTACAAGTTATACAGAATTGTTGCTGGCGACAGAGCCACTTGGAGGCAAGGTCCCCCAGCAGGCCAGCCATGGTCCCTGTGATCCTGCTGGAAGGTGCGTGGGTGGGTTTTTTCCACCGCCGAGGAGTTCATACAGCCTGGGGAAGGGCAGGTGGCAGCCAGTCCAGTGTCAGTCTGCTGTCCAGAGCTGAGAGCAAAGAGAACTTGGGGCTTCTACACAGAAGGCACCACTTCCCACCCTGTAGACAGCTTGGGTCCTGTTAGGCCAAGGTGGGTCTCTGAACAGCATAGGCCTTTCATGGATCAAGGCAGAGACCACAGGCTTCATAGTTTTTTCTGTTTGTGACTCCCTATCCCACAGCGCGGGGGTGTCTGGAGATGAAATAGCTTTTGTCCTGACACAGTAATACAGTGAGAGTAGCAGTGTCCTCCCCATAAGCTTTAGACTGCAGTGCCATTTCTGGTGCTTAGATGGTAGCAATTCGTCCATCACAGCTCTGAATCACAGCCCAAGAAAAGAACTAGAATGTGAAAATATGGCCTGAATTCTCCCCAAAGTCTGCTGTGGTCTGGCAGCAGGACACTGATTATGGGTTGTGTCCAGAATATGGGTAAAGGAAGTTTTGGAAACCCCAAAGTGCCCTACTATTTTCTTAGAATGCTATTGTTCCTGTGGGTTTAAAAAAGCTTTCTGTGTTAATGATTTTTCCAGAGTTCATTCTCTTCTTAGCCTCCTTCCTTGCTCACTGCTGTAAACCACAGGCATCTGTCTGGTCTATGTTCCCAGGCTGTACCACACTGTGCATCTTCTCTGGCACAGGACACCAAGGCTGGTTGGGAGAGTCTTCCTGCTTTACAAAGATAGGGGTGACTGGGGCTTGTGAAGGGAGAGCTGCCCTCGAGGCAGCACACGGTCAGGGGTCAGCATAAGGCCCTGGAGCCCACTGTTCACCTCTGTTTTCCTGGCTATTGGTGTTCTGTCTCTTGCACTCTGTGCACAGAGGCCCATGTGGGACAGTCCTGTGTAGAGGAGTCATGAGGACAGCAGTGTGCCTCTGCCCCTGAAGGCAGCATCCTCTTTCCCAGGGTGCGGCTCTCCTTCCAGGAGCCCCCCTGAGGCCTGTGAACCCATGGACTCAGTGTCCCCTCTGGGCTGTCTTCTGGCAGGCATCTAGGGCTGAGCTGGGTACTGACCACAGAGGCTCAGAGGCCTCTGTCACAGCCACTCCTCTGGGTGAAAGTGCCTGGCTATGGGCCTTGCCATTGGCACCTACTCTGCACATCTTCAGAGGAGCTCTCCATCCTCCATCCTCACTGGAGGTGCACAAGGAGAACTCGGCTCAGCCTGCTCTCTTCCCACCTGTTCTCTTCCCAGTCCCAGCCAGTGGGCACCTTTAGGTGTCATTGCCACCAGGATGTAGGCTCTTGAGAGCAGGAGTGAGGCAATGACAGGTGGGATCTGGTGTCGTCCATCCCCACCATAAGTGGAAGGATGCTTAGCCTTCCCACATCATTGTGAGTTGGGGGTCTTGCAGCTGAAGGGCCTTGCACCAGAGTGTGCCTGCTTGTGTGTGCAGTGTGGGTTTAGTACTGTGAGTACTGCCCTCTATAACCCAGGTAGCCTCCATGAACCTAACCAAACACAGGGTAAAGGACTGAGACAAGAATACATCTGTGTGTCCAAGCCAGTTATGCACAGGCTTTTCCTCCTTGTCATTCTCTGGATGATGCAGCAAACCATGGACATTTAGTTTGTGTTGCCTTGGGTGCTGTGACTGATCCTGCAATGGTACAGGGTGAACAGGGGCACAGTGTGTATGGGGCTGGCACACTGAGGAGCTGGTGTCTTGGGAGGGTCCTGGAGCCTCACTCTCTGTGCACTAGAGCTCTGAACCCTGCCTGCTGTGCCCCACACCCCATGTCTTGACACCCTTCAGGGCAGGGCAGAGCAGGGCTGCAGTCCCTGTTTATGATACCAGCCCCTTGTATATCACGTGAAGTCTTGCTGTGGGACTGCAGTGGGTGGTGTGGGTGGCATCTAGCAAGTCCCTTGTCTAGGCAGTGTTGGAACCTAAGGTGACCCTGCCACTCCAGAGTGTGTGGATGTGGCTGGGGTTCCCTGTCACTCTGTGTGGTTCCTACATGGTCCTTACAGACATCCAGTAGGAAAGTGGCCCAAGTGTTTTAGAGATGTGGCAATGGCAGATAGCCTCAGCTTTGAGTGACATACTCAGACTCCTTGGGTGGGAAGATGGAACCTGGGATTTCTGTCCTCTGAGAATGTGGGATCCAGCAGCTGCAGCCAAGGGGCGCAACGTTCGCATAGCAGCCCCACTTTAGGGCCCTCTCCTGGTGGCACTGAGACCACACCTGGGGGAAGGGCCCCACGCAGGGTGCTGGGGCAGTGGCACGGGTGTCACCCACAACCAGTTGGGTCTCCTGTGAACCTATGGCAGCAACTCCTCCTCCTGTCCCATCCCTGCATTGGGCAAATGTCTCACCACTGTGCTTTTCCCTTGCAGCAGAGCTGGAGTTCACCCAGATCATCATCATCATTGTGGTGGTCACTGTGATGGTCGTGGTCATCATTTGCCTGCTGAGCCACTACAAGGTTTCCACACACTCCTTCATTCAGCAGCCAGGCCCGGGCAGGCGGCAGGGGGAAGCAGTGCTTCTGGTAAGTGTGGGCTCTGGGGTCCTGTTGGTCTCTGCTGTGCATGGCCTGCAGTTCACTGAGCCTCATGCTAGGAAAACCACTCAGGTTTCCTGGCACAAAGGTCTCCACTGCCTGGATGTCATCCATTAGCGCAGACCTTTGTCTGGCACAAAGGTCTCCACTGCCTGGATGTCATCCATTAGCGCAGACCTTTGTCTGGCACAAAGGTCTCCACTGCCTGGATGTCATCCATTAGCGCAGATTAGCATTGCCTTTTTATTTGTTTTGTTGTTTTATTTTATTTTTGTGGTACTGGGGATTGAACCCAGTACCTTCACACTGAGCTGCCTCCCTAGCCCTTTTTAAAATTTTGAGCACTTTAAAGTGCAGCTGTGGCTGCAGGGTGCCCCCCGATGGCCTCTCAGGTGCATGCCTGTGCATCCTGGGGATCCCTGGTTGAGGAAGCCTTGAGGTCCTGGTATGGGCTGGCCCTGCTCTCGAGGGACAAGCATCGCCCTGTCCAAAAGGAATAGCCGACTCAGACAGGATCAGGGGCTGCATCGTCATCCCTCTCTGAATTCTCTCTGAAGACAGGTGAGGCCAGCTTCTTCCACCCCCTTCCTGGAGCCACCCATGTTGGCCCTTTATGTGGGAAGGCTGTCGTAGCACTGGAGGGATGTGAAAAGCAACTGTATCCCTAGTGCCTCAGACACCTGTGCTCCAGGGAAGCTCAGCAAGGGGACAAAGCAGCGATTCTGGATGAATGGGCAATAATTATGAGAAAAGTAAAACCCTAGGTGGTTTTAATGGCCACCACAGAACACTAAGCTCCGTGTCCTCTGAGGCTGCCAGCCATTCTCCCCAACTCTGTGTGGAGCCAGCGTTCTGACATCCTGGCTGCTGCAGTCAGTGCCTGAGCACCCAGCTGGCCCGAAAGGTACGGCAAGAGGTACCCTCTGACCCCAAGCGACCTCTGACAGTGTGGTGCAGAGGGTGCCCCGGGCTTCTGTCCACAGAGCAGCAGTGGATGGACAGAGGCTTACACTCGTGTGAGCCACATGCAGTTGTGGCTGCTCAGCCAGATTTGGCCTATAAAAGTAGCAATTTCACTTAAAAATGAACAAAAGAGTAACACCAGAGATTTGTTCATCACCAGCTTGTGTAGGGATGGAATCCATGGTGAAATCCAGGGGCCTCCTAGTACACCCATCCTCAGAAACTTGGGGACAGAGCAAAGCTGCCCAGCTCCATGGGATGCAGGCTCTCATAGGAAGGAGGCTGGTTCCTTTATTCCCTGGCTGATGAAAAGGACTGTAACTTGGCAGCTGTGCTTCTCTGGCCAAAGTGGCTGGCCTGGGCTGCAGACAGCCCTGGACCCTGGCCTGGCCTGGGCTGCACTTAGGGTGAAGAACTGGGCACACCTGCCCAACCCAGCTAGTTGATGGGAGCCAGGCCTGGTACTCTCCATGTGGACCCTCATCCTGGCAAGCTCCTACCACTTAGTGCTATTCTGGGAAGATATTTTTTGGTGCACAGACCTCTACCATGAGGATGAAAAGAAAAGCAGATGGAAAGGAGCCACCAATTTCCAGAGAGCAGGCAACATCCTTGTGGATGCGAGAACCCTTCCAGGAAGCAAAGAAAACAGGGACGCATATCCTGCCCTGGCCAGATGTGGTTTCTGTGTCTCCTCCTCTGTGTCCACCTCCCTGGAGCCAGGTCCTTGCCTCTGTGGCTGACAATAATGAGGCGGCTGTGGGCCCCAGAGCTGTCCGCAGCTCAGCTCTGCCTACAGTGGGCTCACTCACCTTAGGACAGGGCTGCACATAGTCAGGACTCATCCAAGGGGGTCACATGGGCCTCAGGACTCACCAACAGGCCCCCTGAGGTGCATGGAGGTTGGCAGGTACTTTCCTGAGCTGGCCATATTGCCCAGCCTGTGCATGTGTGTGGCCCCAGTCATGTCCTGCGTCCCCAAGGGCAAGGGCAATGGTGGAGTATAGCACCCCACTCCTTTCTCTGTGACAGAAGGCACACAGATGCCTTGTCCCCATCCCACTTCAGGTTGTGTTTAGGGAATTATTTGTGCCATGGTGGGCATGGATTGTTTCAGGAAAGTTAAGAGTGAGCTGCAAGCTATGTCACACCATAAGTATCACAGCCCTGACTCTGGGCTGCTTCAGGTAGGGTTGGAGGATGTAGTAACAGCCATCCTGATGTAAGAAGGGATAATCTCTCCCTACTACAGACCAGGTTCTTTGTGGACTGTGTTGTCTGTGATGGTGCCAGGCAGGTCCGCACCTCCCTGAGCTCACACTCTGACTCAGCACATGGCAGGGGGTCCTAGCCCTTCACCCACAGCAAAGTCCTCATAGCTCACGGTCACATATCATGGTCTTTCAGTATGTAATATTATATAGTTTGGATGAGAAATTACCAGAGATGCAGAAATATAAAGGACTAAGAGAGGACAGTAATCAGAGGCCTCAATGAAGTTGGCAAAGTCTTAGAAATATTCTTCCAAAACTGATTCATAAAGAAGTAGAGAATCTGAATAGATTTTAATTACTAGTAAGTAGAACAAATAATCAAATGCTTTCCAACAAACAAAATTGCTGGGCCAGAGATATCACTGTTGAAATCTTACTACACATTTAAGAAATTGACACCAACCTTTCTTAAGCTTTTCCAAAATGTAAGAGAGGTGTTAATACTTCTCAACTGATTCTCTGAGAGCAGAGTTCCAATACAAAGCCAGATGAAGACACAAAAGAAAAAATATAGGCAAATACCCCTTGAGGATATATGTAAGGATAGCAAATAGAATCAAGCAGGATATCAGAAGGATTATCACCATGACCAAGTGGGACTTAATTCTAGAATGTCAGGATAATTCAGTGCATGGAAATTCATGACACACCCTATTAATAGAATGAAACAGAAAGAAGCCATGTGACCATCTCATTGATATAGAAAAGGCATTTGACAGAATTCAACACCCTTTCACTATAAAAGTGCTCCAAACAGTAGGATGCAAGGAAAGGAAAGTTCCTTAGCCTCATAAAGTCACCTGTGAAAAGCCCACAGCTGCCATTGTAATCAACAGTGACCAACTGAAAACTTTTCTCCTGAGATCAGCTACAGGATAACAATGCCTTCTTTCACCATTTCTAGTCAGCATAGCGTTTCTTGGAACTCACAGGCAGAGTAGTTAGTTAAGAGTATTAAAGATCATTCCAATGGAAAAGGAAAAAGTAAACTTATTTCTGTTAGTAGATGCTATGATCCTAGAAAACTCAGAATATTCAACCAGAACAAAACAAAACTGTGGTGGAACTCTGTAGTAGTCAGTTTTTCTGTGGCTGGACACAGTACCCCATCCCACAGATTTGAGGAGTCTCATTTGGCTGGTGGACTCAGAGAACTTAGTCCCTGACCTACTGGGTCCACAGCGGGAACCTTATGGCAGAAGGTTGCAAAGCAGCAAAGAACCCAGATACATACAGTACCTGGAATCACACCTTGTGATCACCAGAAGTGCCTTTCTAAGCCCTGAGTGTTTCTTAAACAGGTTAGGTTGATGTATCAGGACTAATAGCTGCAAAATGATAAATTCAGCACAACAGCAGGGTTGAACTCAGCATGCAAAAATCAACTGTATTTCTCTGCACTAACTATGGTAATCTGATCTTAGAAGGAAATTAGGAAAATAATTCATTTATAACAGTCTGAAAAAGTATATTATGCTTAGAAGTAAAATTGAGAGATGACTTGTAAACTAAAAACTACAAAATATTGCTAAAAATTAAAGCAGACACAAACAGAATGATATCCCATATCTAGATTGGATTTTTTTTTTTTTTTTGGTACTGGAGATCAAACTCATGATCTCGAGCTTGCCAGGCTGGTACTTACACTGCTGAGCTAACTCCCTGGCCCTAGATTGAATCTTTCTTTTTATTTAGTTAAAGAGAAAAAACAAAATAAAACAGTAAAGGGTACAAGTAATACAGAATTTCAAGAAAAAAATGTACAGTAAGAAATCACTAGCTAATAATTACGTATTGTCATCTTAGAAATAGTGGTTCAAATTACAAAATTAAAGTATATAAAGTGGACATTCCAACAGTGAGATTGCAAACAGTTCTGTTCAATGATTCAACAAAAACTTAGTAATATGGTTTTCTATTTACACACTTCAATATACATGCAGTTATATCCTTTAGATCACTTTCTTTTCCTCTTTTTTACAATAACAATTACACATTTTGGGTTTTATTACACCCACAGTTCTTATTACTTTTTTTTTGACGAGGAAAAAAACCAAATGTGACAAAGCAAAACAGAGTCAGTTAGAACAGAAGGATGGACATAGTACACGATGTAAAAACAGAATACAAGGTGATCAACAGTGGTTACCATTATGCCTCTTGCTATCTTAAAAAGAGTTGCCTATATCATCAGGTATAATAGAATTGAGCAAAACAGTACAGAACAAAACCAATAAAACCTAAACATTGGAGACCTTACAAAACTCCAAAAGAAGATAATAGTCAAACCATAATGGGCATCAATGTGAATCTTATTGCCTTCAAAGTGGTTGCCTATACTCTCAAACTTGATACTATCAAACAAAAGAGAATAGAGTAAAATCAGTCAAAACAAGATGGGGAGAGCAATATAGGGGTTCAAATTAGGTTAATAGGAAAACAAAAAAGTTACTATAATATATTCTGCTATTTTTTAATTTATTTTTTCCTTAATTAAAAAATACTAAAAAAATTTTTTTTAAAAAAAGGAGAGAGATTGAGATAAAAGAGGACATAACAACATAACAACACAGGTCAGAACAGAGCAATTTAAGCATCATAGTGTTTCACCACTAGATAACCTAGTGGTGAAATCTACTACTAGATAACCTAGTAGTATTAACCATAGTGTCTCTTTCTTTGAAATATATATATTTCAACTTCATATACTATAGCATCAAACATATCAAGACAGTGTGAAACCATTCAAGA